CACGGTAGATACAAAGATGACTGGTATCCAGAGGAACAGGAAGGAGCCGCTAGGGTAATATGAGTGATCTGGCGGTCTGGTGCAGACTGAAGAGGCGCCCCTTGGTTTGTCCAATGCAATTATCACTATTTCTCTTATATTGAAGAGTTATCCTCAAGCCTAGTTCTCAACCTAGGAAGACCAACCAACCAGGTCTAGAATTACAGACAGTGATGGGACGCTGGATCCGGTTTCCAGCACCTGTGTTCTTCCACAACTCATCTCATGGTTTTCTTACGAGGGACGCTGAACCCAGTTTCCAGGAGGTGATGCTCCCCACCAATAGATGGAGCGGTCCATCGAAAAAAAGAAAAAAAGAAAATTAAGAAAATCAGAAGTTTTGACCCCTCTCTACAAGCCACCGTGCTATCAATCCAATTGATAAAAAAACTGATTGTCTTAGTAAACCCTCCGTGGCAGGATCTGGCAATGGATCAAATCCGCAGACTTGCGCCTAAAACCGTTAATCCAGTGAATCCGCTTCAATGGCTTGAGGATCGGTAATTGTCTATCCCCCGAGCCAGTTCGTGTTCACGAGAGGAGGAGGATAGAGGTGCGGCTAGACAAGACCTGGCAAAAGATAAGCTCTAGATTGACCTTCTCAAGAATTGGAGGAGGTTATCAATCCCTGATAGGCCCACCCCTGATCAAAGGGAGGAAATCCTACGCCAACCACTATTTGGGAATAGGGTGATCACGGATAGGCAAGGACGGGTTTTCGGCAGATCGGATCCCCGCTGGGCTTCATGGGTCAGGTAAGGGATCAGGGATCCTCCGAGTGGGGGACGTATGGGATGGGGTAACCGAAGACTGGAAAATGGCCCAACAACTAAGACCCTGCCTGCGCCACGCTCACAAGCCGGCGGATGCCTTGGAACAATTGATATTTTCAATCCACCTAGCTTGGGTGGTGACCCTAAGAAAGGGTTCGATATTACAGGAATAAGATTGGGTAGTAGTAAGGGTAGAGGTCTTACAAGTAGTCTATGTAGTGGAGGTTAGACCAGAAAGAGCAATGGGCAATGTATTTGAAAGAAGAGGAGACGACACTCTGGTCCGACCCAGACTCGGTCCAGTGGCATGAGAAAACCAACCTCTACCGGATCCGGGTTTTGCAAAGTCATAAGGAGGGAAGGACCCAATGGCGTGCCCTGGACCCTTTGGAATGGCAATGGGTAAGGGGACGGAATGGGCAAGTGGTCTAACTCTCTGAATTGTGAGTTAAAGTCACTTACAGGTTGATCAGGCCCTGGGTGGATGTTCAGGCAGGGGTAGGACAAGTGGCAGAAACAGCTTGGCCTACACAGAGACCAAGTTAGAGGGCTGCAGTGGTTCAGAGGGGTGAAAGAGAGACCGACAAAGTTTGCCTCCCTACAATGGCAAATAAGTCACAAATGCCTCCCCACCAACAACTGGATTATTGACAGGACGAACCTGGAGCAGAGGGGGGAGGCACTGCCATGGTGCAAATTCTGTAATACAGAGTTCCCGGGCCGAAGAATATGCGAAGCAATAAAACATATTTTTCTCCAATATCCGGGGGCCAGTCCTACTATGGCGATGGTGGGACCGCATTTTGTCACAATTGGGCGCCAAAAAGGAGTGGCCGTGGAAATGGGAAGTTCTTCTGTTAGGTGAGTGGAAAAGGCCACATGCATCCCGCCTTGCCAGCAACCTTTTCTCCATAACTAGAAAGGCGATGATCTGAACATTGTGGTTAAGAAGGTGTGTTTTCGACCAGGAAGGGGCCAGGATGGAGGGAGGGGGAGTGGCAGACACAGTCAAGCAATTTATAGAAACAAAAATAAGAGTACAATCGAAAAGAGTTTAGGAAATTCTCTCACAAGAAGCAGACATAGCCAAGGAAATCCATTCCTTCTGTGCAGAATGGCTTGGGGGGGAAACGGGGGTAAGGATGGCCCAAGTAGAATGGCTTGGGGAAAAGGGAGACGAGGAGGGATGCAATGGCTTCACCAAAGACTACAAGCTCAGGTTTCATGACTGGCTGCAAGTCGACCCTAACATTCCGATGAAGAGCCCGGAGGAACTCCGAGACATGTTCTCCCCGACGACCACAGCAATCGTAGAAAGGCAATGGTATGGTCAGTCGTAAGGGATGTCAGAAGTAGTTATCGCAAGAGCTGAGGCTGGCAGATTGTGGTGGTGTGGTTACAATGGCGGGCCGGAGCCCTCCCGAGTGTGCTAGAGGTGTCTGCTCTTATCAGCACCCCTAGCACTCACTCGGGCGGCAAAGAAAAAAGAAAGAGATATCATAAGGAATTGACAGTTGGGTCTGGCGCTGGTAGGGGGAGGGAGTAACTAGCGTGTAGCAGAAGGCATCTGGCGCCGGGGTCAGGGTGAAGAGGTTCCCCCCTCATCCCAATACCCGGCTCAGCCAATCCCCTGGATCCCAGGGTAATCAATGCTGACAGGAATCTCCCACAATTGTTTTTCTGATTTTGGGACACTGGACCTCCTGTGGTGCTACGACTGTCCTAACGTCTAAGGACCCATGAACCAAGCTTGTGCTCCAGTTCATGCTGAGTAACCAGAGAAAGGGCCATCTCAGAGTCAGAGCAAAACTAGGAGTACATCTGAAAGTATGTACTACTGTACATATAGATTCAAATTCGGAAATCATAGTCGATATGTATTGAGCTCTCCTGTCTTCCTTTCTTCCCCTTGACTTCCACTTCTAATAACCCCCTAGGCTCCTACCCATTAGCACACTTGCGGGATCATCGTCGGATGTTCATATTGGTATCAGCTCTGTGTTCCTCTTCCCTTTCATTGCTTCACATTGCTGGTTTTTTTTTTTTTTTTTTTTTTTTTCAAAGGCCCTTGTGCAAGGCCTCTATCCCAGTGGTGGTAAGAGCACCACCGGGATTGAGGCTTTGTCAGTGGGCCACTCCATCTTTTGGTGGGGAGCATCACCTACTGGAAACCAGGTCCAGCATCCCTTTTAAGAAAACCATGAGATAAGTTGCGTGAGAACACAAGTACTGGAAACCGGGTCCTGTGTCCCATCACGAGGCCCAAGGCCAGGGCCCAGCATTAGCGTTGCGTTTTACCGATAATCTCTGAAGAGCTGTTGCAAGTGAATACGCAACCATTCCAGTCCCGTCATCCTCACACTTGTGGAAGTTGTGGGATGTTCATATTGCTATCAGTTGTGTGTTCCTCTTCTGTTGTGTTCGTTATCAGTGCACTGAAGATACATTACTGTTGTATTGTAATGACATTCTCAGAAGAGCTATTCCAGAGGGCAACCTTGTGATCAGATGCAAAAAGACCGGTCCCTCCGGTGAATGTTAGAAATCATTGGAGCAGGCGTCTTGGCATTAAACTCATGATCGCGATCTGATACAAGGCACCTTTTTCACCGTACTCCATCGCTGAACATCTGCGCAATGATGATCACTACTTTCTGACCTCAGGTCCATCCGTGCATGCATGGAATTAAAGTGGCACCTCTAGGGCCTTAGCCACAATTATTGCCAAGTCTCTTGACCAGACACACACATCACAGGGTAGATCTGCACAGAGTTGCTTCGTTGGCTCTCTCTCCCATCTTGCGTCGTTGCCGCGTGGTTGCGGTTGATGTCAACCATATGCTAGTTCAGGCTGTTCCCCTGCAACCCCTGCTGTGACCTCCTCAGGCTTTGATATTCTTAACACAAGATGTTCTGGAATCTGAATTGCAATGAGTAGTTGTCACATATATGTCGGCTCACATCAAATGGCGCTGCCAAAGCTTGGGTGGTCACACTCAGCTGCAAAGACATTTTGCTATCCGCCACCACTGGTTTGTTTCCTTCCCAGCCGTCGCAAGGACTTCAGAAACACGTGAAGTACAGTGTGAAAGAAGAATCAAGAAGCTCAATCCAGCTGGTGACTGCAAGGACATGCCACTCGCAGCAGAAACCAGCGACGGGTTCAGCAGTGGCAATGGCCTAAGCATGGCCAGTGGGTAGCTAGGAGCCGGCCTAATGCAGAGTATATGCATGTTCTGTTAGATCTCCCCCCCGTCGTCGTAGTGCAGTTTGTTGCGCCCGCTCGTTTTAGAAAATGGGTTGCAGCACTCAACGGCGTGCCCGAACCTGGCGTTGGTGGCGCCCAGGTACGAGCGCCTATCGTTCCTTCAGCGTTTCAGGACTTGAAGCTAGTGGTATCGGAAAAGTTGCCACAGAGGTGACTGGCTTGTGGCAGCCAAACATTCATAGTGACATTGCTTTTTGATCCTTCGATGTCGGCCCTTCTTATCATTGAGGGCACCGTCCACGCCCGTTCGTTGCTAAGCAACGGGCTGTCCCCTCACAAGGCAAACGAGGGGGTAGAGGAAGGGAAAAAAAATAAGGGGGAAAAGAAAAGGAAAAAGAAAAGGAGGGGAAGAAAAGTAAACAACCGCGTATGTGGCCACAACCGTGGTTAGGTGTGTGCGTGTGTGTGTGAGTGTGGGGGTAACTGCGCCTGTTCGTTTTTTGAACATCCTCGTGGCACGTTCGAACACGTGGGTCAACAATCGGCGACGGAAGTTGGCTCCGCCGAATGGAATAGTCCCGACTTGGCAATAATATGGAACGATCGCCACTTCTTCCCAGGCTGCAGCCTCGCTTCTGCACAGTTGCGAGATGAACCTCTTAATCTCGCAAAAGGTCATCAACGGGTTCTTTGAATAGAAGGACCTTGCCAACTGCTCGACCATTCTTGCCAACTGCCCAATCACGCTTGCCGGCCCCCTCAAGGCAACGACGGACGGGGCACTCCAGTGACCTGACTCGTTGGGAACAACTTCCACTTTGCCCCCAGTCAGCACAACCACACGGCAATCGGTCATCCCGATATCTATTGCAATGCGCGACGATTCAACCGCACCACCCATAAGTCTCAGGCTTCTCGCCGCCCTGTTGCTAGGTCCAGCCATATCCTGCTCAAGGATACAAACACCACTGTTGGCAATTCCTTGTGGAGATGACTGCGGCCACATCGCCATCTGACATCCCAGTCTCCTCCTAACGGACACTCTCTCCTCGGCAACATCCTACTTCAGATACTCCTCTAGTTCGCTCTTTGTTCGTGCTATCTGCGGCTGTGATAATGCTTCTCCCCTTTCCGGCCGGATGTCTAAGTAGCGCGTTGATTCATTGCAGCCTGAAGCCCGAGCCTTTGCGGTGAGCTGGCCCATCTCGTTCTTCTTGATCGTGATTTCGACAACTTTTGTTCCCTGCGGCACAAGTGGGAAACCCTGCAGAACGAACGTTCCCACATGTCGGCTCCTGCGATCGAAAATGCGCTCGAACTCGCACAGGCGAAACTCCATGTTGCTCTGTTCATTTCGACTTACCCTGACCGTGAACCTTCCTGAAGCCGGTCGAGTCTGTCCTTTGGATATGAATTCGCGCATCATGCCCTTGTTCTCACTTACTCCAATGCTCAACGAAATCGTATCCGTCGCGGTCGCCAGCTCCATCCCCTCGTACTCGGATGGAACCACCTTCTCGTTGACGACCCTATGCGCGCCTTGGATGATGGCCCCATAGCCAACGGCTTTCTCAGGATCCATATTGTCGCTGGGTCGCCTGCTCAAATGCGAACCCAACATCTCTTCGAGCCTCGGCATTCTCGACGGTTCACCGACCATTACAATGTCGGAAACTTTATTTTTTCGAACCCCAGCGATTCGGTCAAATAGATCCCTGGTCAGCTCCTCGAACTTGCTGCGCCTAATTTCTATTCCAAATTCGATCGAGCATACATCAAATGGTTTACTGTGCTGCATGGAGAGCCTCTCCATAGCGTGGTTGCACATGTGCTCAAACGATTGATGCGTCCAGGGATCGGTCTCGATCCTCGTCCGAGGATCCTTCCTCGTGGCACAATTGCACACGTGGGTCAACAATTAGCGACGAAAGTTAGCTCGCTGCGATGAATAGTCCCCTCTGAGGCTTTGACTTCGTAATTCTTGTCACCGTTGAAGATTACCAGACTTACGCTCAATGTCCTACCTCCCATATCAAACACCAACACCACCTTTAGCCAGTCCTCAGAGTCTGCGATTCTTTGACGCTATGAATACGCCCGAACTGCCGCCGCTGGTTCATTCATTAGCTCCATCACATTCAATCCCGCTGTTGGGGCAGAAACCCTAACAAGGCTATCTTCATGGTAATCTGAATGTCGGACGATGTTCGATTTTGGTACAGTTGCTCGAACCTGACCTACTATGACCAAAAGGCTAATTTTTTGAAAAATGTTTGCTGACATCAGGAAACAGTAGGTGATGACTAGCAGTGTGATCGGCCACCTATCGCGTTTGGCGAGACCGCAAGGAGGCGCGGGCATTAAGGATGTTGATCTCGAGCCTATCCCACTAAAAATACAGACAGTCGCGCGATTCAGAGCCTACGGGCCTAATAGGGATCGTTGTCCGAGGGCTAAAACCACGACGGCAGCCGAGAGGCCCAGCAGCTTGCTCTACTAAGAGTTGGAGACCATCGCGGTTGACGCAGACGGCCAGCCAAGGGCCGGGCATGGCGGAGCTAGGCCTGTAAAGGCCATGGGCAGGCGGCCACTGGATGGGAACTCTTCATATAGAAGAGTTACGCCTGCCCCTATCGTAGTGAGAATTAGCCCAGTGGGTAAACACATCAGACCGCCATGGTTCAGACGTGGGGAACGAATCCGATGGTATTGTATTGGTGCTAGCTCCTTTTCAGGAACGGTGCTGAGGGTCAGAAACATACCTAGAGCGGTCAAATTTCGGTCGCACGATCTTCGAGATTGCGCAGTTGAAATTCGCCGTGCGAATCTGTACTAGCCCTGTGTAAGGATGACACACATAAATCGATTAAAAAAAAAAAGTTGAATCCATATAGATTCGAACCTAGGTCAGACTTTCTATAGCTCGTGACTGAGAAGCCACGAGGCTGAAATGACTACTTGGCCCATAAAAAAAAAAAAAAACAGGAAAAAAAAACCCTTAAACTAGAACGTGGAGCACCAGATGGCGCATTGACAACTAACGGGGACTTAGAGTCTCCATGAACGAACAGCAGGTGCCCGTTGAAAACGGGCAGCCGTTCTGATATTTTTTTATTTTCCCTTTTTTATTTTTGTTCCTTCTATACTCTTCTCTCAACTTTTGTTTCTTTACCTTCCATTACCTACTCCTAAGACTATCTAGAGGGGACCCCTGCAAGCATAGTTTTCCTCTCTCTGTGAAGGGGAGATTTCATGTTGCCCCTTGCCCCTAATGGTTAGGGTATAGGGTTGGGGCCGCCAGTGGGGGTCTGGCTAACACAAAGACCGAGACCTACCAGTAGCTGTGCCTCCCTTTCTCATCGTCCCCCACCCTTCATCGAGTAGCCGTTATGATATTCAAGGTGGGTTGTTGTTTTTTTAGATTATTTTTTAGATGTAGTTTTAAAGATTTCATTTTAGTTTTTTTTTTAATTCTTTTTTTTCTTCTCGCGCTACGGACCATTGAAGTGCCCGTTTGTCGAAATGAATGGGCTGAACTTCCTACCTTGCAAACCAACTTCATGCTATTTTCATCGATGGGATGAGCAAAATCGGATGAACCTACTGCTAGAACATGGAACTATATGCCACTACGTGTGCTTGCGTGCATGTGTGTGTGTGTGTGTGTGTGTGTGTGTGTGTGTGTGTGTGTGTGTGNGAGAGAGAGAGAGAGAGAGAGAGAGAGAGAGAGAGAGAGAGAGAGAGAGAGAGAGAGAGAGAGAGAGCAACCTGGCGGTTGGCCTCACACTTCTTTTATCGATAGGATGAGCAAAATCGAATGAACCTACCGCTAGAACATGAAAGTATACCCTACCACAAAGTTTTTCCCTCACTTGGGTTCAGGAAACTGCGCCTGTTCATTTGGAGAAACGGGCAACAGACACAACATGAGGAAAGTGTTTTTTGTTTTTTTGTTACATTCTTTTTAGATTGTTTTTAGATTTTTTAAATTGTTATTTTTCTCTTCTGTTAGATTCCCCCCCTTTCGTCGTAGTGCAATTGGTTGCGCCCGTTTGTTTTAGAAAACCGGCTGCAACACTCAACGGCGCGCCCGAACCTGGCGTTGTTGGCGCCCGGGTACGGGCGCCTATCGTTCCTTCTGCATTTCAGGACTTGAAGCTAGTGGTGTCGAAAAAGTTGCCACAGAGGTGACTGGCTTGTGGCAGCCAAACGTTCATAGTGACATTGCTTTTTGATCCTTCGATGTCGTTGAGGTCATCGTCCATGCCCGTTCGTTGCTAAGCAAGGGGCTGTCCCCTCACGAGGCAAACGAGGGGTTAGAGGGGGGGAAAAAAAAAGGAAAAAGAAAAGGAAAAAGAAAAGGAGGGGAAGAAAAAAAAAACGGCCGGTTATGTGGGCGCAGCCGTGGTTAGGTGGGTGGGGGGGGGGGGGGGGGGGGGGGGGGGGGGGGGGGGGGGGTAACTGCGGCTGTTCGTATTTTGAACAGGCTGCAACATTTTGGCTAGGTACAACTATTCTCTGAAGCATGTGGTATGGGGAAAAGGTCGGATGCTTCAAAGGTTGAAAGACCTTGGTTCCTCTAGGGGAACATGAAGGATTTTGACCCTTGATCGTGAGCTCGGATCAAGGGTCCAACCCAACTACGTTTTTTTTACAGTGGGGCAAATAGTTGCCCACAGTCCTTCAAGTGGCTACTAAAGTCAGCATTCCACCCAGCAGCCTTACAATTGTGGCAGTGCTACTAGGATGTTCACTTGAACGCTGGTTGGGTGTTGCTAGAGGGGAGAGGTTGCAAGTGGAGTGGTGGTCTGTTGGGTGGAGGTGCTGGAGGTCCGCATGAGCACTAAAGGAGGAGGGCAACCATATCTGAGGGTAGGAGTTCATTGCCCCACCTCTGTGTTGGTGTCGCGGCCGATGGGTTGCGTTACGTTATTTTTGTTGGGGTTATGCTGTCCGGTTGGCGGCACGTCCGCGACACTATTATGAGGGGAAATGCTGCCGATTTTTTGCATCACGGTGGAGCCGTTTTGTTTTTGTGTATGATCTGGCGATGGTGCTTCTAGACAACCATCGTATACGTTTTGACGATGCCGCGAGCGACAATTCCGCTTTTATGTTTTTTTAGGTGTGCGGCAGTGGTGGACCATTTTGGTTTGATCCGACGATAGTATGAGCGCTGACGTACATTTGAGATCACGCGGTATTGGTGGACCAGCGGTTCGAAGAGAGTGCAGAGTGAATGCACATAGCGGTGGCTATTAGAGCTGCGACACGTGCGGTTTCTGCCGAAGACCACCTTTATTTTTTTTGCGGCGTGGTGCGAGCGGTTTCGATATTGGCGTTATCCAGTGTTATGGGCGATGATATGGGCCCACCTGGAACCATTTTGGGATCAATTGGGACCAACTTGAGGGTCGAGATTTTTTTGGCATGGGTGGTTGTGGTGGTTGTTTAAAGCGGAAGCGGTGATTGGAAGAGGTTTGGACTGAGGGTAATTTGGGACAACTCTTGAGAGTTGTCGTGTGTTTGAACAACCAGGGACGTTGGGACCGGTCTAAGCAGGGATCAGTTTGGGACATTGGGACCACGTGAAAACTCATTGTGGGAACACCCACCTGGAGGGTTATCTCGGATGAGTTTTTTTGTGGCCCAACCTCTGCTCGTTTGAATACTTGAGAAAAGACGTGAACCACCTTTTAAAGGTCACAACTCGTTGAGTTGTACGGCGGTCATTTTCGTTTGATTGGAGTATTACTTGACTTTCTTGAGTGAGTCAATTTCAAAATTTCACTCAAGGTCCACTTAGACTTCCCTAGACACCTGTGTGAACCACACTTTGCTTGACCCTGCTTGTTTTGAATGCTTGCGCGAGTCATGCATGTGAATGCAAAAGTCAGACTTGTGTATGGGGTTGGATTGATTTCTTTTGAACTTGGTTGTTTTGCTCTGAGTGCAAGTAGGTAGAGAGATGTTTGGAAATACTATTGATTATGCCTATTCGAGATGAAAAAAAAGACTGTCCCCTTTCTATCTTTCACATGTTTGCATGACAAAAGTATCTGAATTTAGAGTGAATAATTTCAACGAGTACTGTAAAGAAAAACCTCGTGAATATAGTGAAGATGAAGTCAATCGGACTTAGTATTTCCCCCAGGATTGACTCTTTCTATCATAAATGACCTTATCTACCTATACCTGTCCAAATGATTCTCATTTTATATCTCCTTTGATTTTTTTTCGTCTAAGTTACCTTGAACTTATGAAAAATGAGAATAACGGGAAGTTACACGCAGTGGACACATTTTTTTTTTTTTAGGAAGCATCTGGGCTGGGGTTCGTTGCTTCAGGAGTCGGCCTTGTTATCGACCCAGAGTGGATCGTTCTACGGGGGGGTACTCTGCCGATTCGAGGGAGATGGCCCAACTTATGAGATCCGAGCTTTGTGCTCGTGCGAGGAGGAGGAGTACCCTATATCACTTCCGAAGGGGAGAGATATGCAATACTTCAAGTAGTGCACTTGATCAAGAATCATCCACAAAATAGCTTGTCGTCCGAGAAAATTGAGAATGTATGAGGACAGGTGTGCGCGCCTAATCTTAGGTCAACGGTAGGGTGAAATGAATGACTTTGGCAGCACATCTCATCAAGTCAAAACTGAGGCAGTCCAACTACCTTGTCGGTTGCATCAA